GAAGCCTGAGCTATCATCTCACCATGATATACTCAATACTGGTCTTAAGCTCTGCATTATAAAGGCTACTCTTGTTCCTTGTTTTCCTCTGCTCTTTGTTTTCCTCTAGTCACCTTCCTTCCAAAATTTGAGGGTTTTCACTTCAGCAGTGAGAAGTGGTGGGGCACAGCTGAGTTATGAACCAAGAAATGGATGAGGCTCACCCAGCAACACAATTAACTCCTGGATACATGGATTGTAGGAAGAAGGAAAAGTCTTGAAAACATGCAGTGAATTCTTACCTGTGACACTTCATAAGGACAGAAGGGTCCTGTTTGAGTCACCACAACCAAAACACCACTKCTGAGGACTCAATATCCTAACTAAGTAGTCTTACAGATCAGAGATAGGTGAGACACTTCAGTCCAAATCATCATCTTTCATCACTTTATGCAATAGTGGTATAGAACTTAGACACTTCAGTCAGATATTACCCGAATTCCACCAAAACCACCAGGTATGATGTTTGGCCCATGCCCTGAAGCAGACAAGGGCATACATAACAGTGGAAAACTATTTAAAAGAGAGTTTTATCAAGACAGCTCAAAGAGAGTTTTATCAAGACAGCTCACTGTCTCCTAGAGGAAACNCAAATGTGCTGATCTAACAAACCCAGAAGAATTTCTCTTGTATTTCATTCTGGACTATGTGTCAAGGAAAGAAAACTACCCCAGACTATACTGGTTTTGTAACTTCTGCTCCCCAGTTAGGAGATGTTGGTCACTTATACAATTGTATCTTATCTATACAGACAGAAATCTGCTATTCTGGTCTCTTTCTCCATTACAATAGTGTATATTACAAAATCTCCATTGCAAAAGTGTAACTTAAGTCACAGAATAGAGAAAGCATTTCTACTTGTTCTGCTGAAGACAGAATAGAAGCTGATTTCTGGGGTTGTGCCAGAGTTGTTCCATGAGTATCACTGAACATTTAAATACCATGAAACTCATATATCCTATACAGGGGCACCATGAGGGGCAACTCATGGGTAACTGTGTGGAATACCATTCAGTTTCAAGAAAGCAGATCTTGTGTGTCAGCACAAAAAGGGTCACAAGTGGATATAGGAAGGGGAAGTCTCTAGAGCATTAGGATGAGATCAGAGCAGGAAAAAGYGAGTATGAAGCCTTTGCTTCCATCCTCAATCCCACATGGCAGCAAGAGGGGACCTCCTGACATGTACTTGTYGAACTTCAGGAGTTTTAATAGAGCAGCTCAGAGCTGGTTTGTATCCAGCACCCAACCAAGTCCATYTATTTTGGGCTGAGCTCCAGGGCCGTCATCTGCCTGCAAACACACAGCATCAGCCTGGCATGAGATAAACACTGTGGTACACATGAGCATACCCTGGCGAATACTCATGTGGTGGGGTTACAACAGCTCTCCTTCAGACTATATATAAATTGCTTGGGATGCACAGTGGGACTTGATGTTTTGWACATCAGCTACCATACTGAGGGCGGTTAGAAAATAGCAGCAGCAGTAGAATAAAATCAAGRGAGTGACATTTAAAAATCACTGCAAAGGAATGTTCTCAGCGCTGGTGTCTTGTTTGTTTCCAGCTGCAGGGCAGAGAGGCCATATAAAGCAGCAGAGAAGGGAGGATGCTCAAGGAAGCTGTGGCTGTCTGGTCATTATGATGAGTTTTTTAAGACCAATCTTGATTTCTGATTTCAGTGCAAAAATACATGTTGACTACATACTTTTCTCAGGAATTGCACCACAGTAGGAAATATTCCTAAACTGGACAAGGGGAAAAGCGCCATTTCCTTTGCCACAGTGTCCTATTTTGAAACCTCARAGATTTTGTAAATGGGTTTGCAAAAACACAGTCCACTTCAACAACTCACGGAGAACTGGGACACAAGTAGAACTAATCAGACTGATTTCTTCTATCCCAGAGCCCTGAGAGAAAATGTCATTTGCTAGAATTTTATCATAAATTTGTTTGGATATCAAAACATRCAAAGCCAGTAATTCCAGTTCTTATATTGTACTTAAGTAAATCAGGATTAATTAAATTAAATTCCTGGGCTCAAGAATACAAAATACAAAATCCCTTAATACAAAATGAATGTGTTAYTTCCTTCCAAAATTTCCATACCATGCCAGGGCAGGGCAGAGAGAAATGGATTTGTTTTGATATAAAAATTAGTGAAAGCAAAGACAGGATCAGATTTGCTAACTAAAAATATCTAGAGAAGAAAAAAACTGATGTCTAATCCAAGGGGAAGTAATGAATGCATAGCTGATGCGCAGTGATAATGAAGCACACCCACAGAAATGATTGTTAAGTGAATCTTAAAATCAAAAAACCTTAATTCTGGTCCCAGGGATTTTGATTAAAATCCACTTGAAAAGAACGTCTAATGATTTGGTACCGATATTACTTCAATTAGTGGRAAGTGTAAGAAACAAAAGGAATAAAATACTTTTCATCTCAAWAAAGGAGAGCTTCCTGGGGTGTGGGGTTGAAGCGTACAGGCTGGAAGCATGTTGAAGCTTCCCTGTGAGGAGTAATGAGTTAGTGAACCTTTCTCAAGTACAACACTTTTCTTTTTGAAGCTAATATTTGCCTTGTAGTAACAGAGTTTCACAGTCACTACAAAGTGCTTATTCATTTCTGGGTGCAGCTACAGCCACTGTCAGCACTGAAATGAATAGGTGGCTTTCCGTTGCCTTTTAGAGCATGATCTGTAACGATAAATGAGTTTTGGGGCTCTGGCTGGCACATAGATTGACAGAAGTCTGCTAGAGCTGCTTTTCCCGGGCAGTGCCATTCATAATTTCACCTTTYCAGCCTGAGAACTACTCTGATTTTACCCAAAGCCAACCAAGAGTCTGGAGCTGAAATTCCCAGTGACTACAACATTGTTGAATTACTGTGGGTTCTGATCATCTCTTCCTTTTTCAACATGTTTCTCTGATAYAAACTAAAACTTCATATGAGAATTCTAGGCAAAAGGCACAAATATGCYCTGCAAACATTTGTCATACTATTGCAAACTTATTGAAAAACAATTCTGCCAGAGCTTTCAATGTATTTCATTCAGACAGATAMACACAGATAAAATCAGAGGAATTAATCAACAGTTCACAGATATAAGCTTATCACCTTTGCTACTRAAGGTACTGACTACAGTTAAATCACCAATACTAGCAATCCAATCCCTAGCTTTTTGAGAAAAAGAGGATTTGCTTTCAGTAAATATGACTGTCCTAAAACGGGATACCATAGCAAAAGTGCTCACAYATGTAAGTTGGATTCATAGTTTTAGCACCCAGTTGTCTGAAARCTGTGAGTTGCTAAAATCTGTTTTGAAATACAAGTAATCAAATGACAACATTAATATAATCCCAGAGAGACACAGGCAATGTGCAATGTGTAGCTGCTTCCAGCATTTCTGAGGTATAGTCTGGGGGACAAAATCACAAGTAATTCAGCATTGTGATGAATGGCTATAAAACAGAGGGGGTACCAAAAGTCCACAGCAGGACTATGAGGAGAAGACGAATTCCTACTTATCTAGACTTTTGTGATAAACATCCATACTACACAGCAGAGCTCTCTGAAAAACTCATGCTATGAAGAAACAGAAAAGGTAACACCTTAACTGAGGTAAAGACAGACATGAATTGGAACTTTCCATAGTCAACATTTGTATTGTTAAAGGCAGTGATTATTAGCATGCTTCAATTTAGCACTAACTTAAAWAGAAATAAAATGTTTACTTTGAGTACTGCAGTCCTGAGCCACRACCAGAATTTTTCTAATTCTACAGATAGAATACACCCACTTTTAGCAGATAAGTGTGTTCCAGAGCCTAAGCATCTATTGAAAAATATTTSTAGTCCTTGTGGTTGCAAAGCTAACTCTCAAAACATGAACATCCTACTGCTGAGAAATGCTCAGCAGCAGGCACTTAGAGAAGAAGATGAACAAAATGGTAGTGCAAGAGCGAGAAGTTTTAGGGGCTTTGTATTTCAAAGAACTATTCATGATGGCTGAAATATCCCTTACTTGAGTGGAAATAGCTAAGTTAGGGCTCAGTACTTTGTATGAGCCCGKTAATTTTTCATTTATTACACTTACTTACATTGAATGTAATCTGCCATTTACTGTTAGCACAAGGGTATCTTCTGTGACTTTGCAGCCAGYTGTAGATTTGACTACCCTGAATAATTTTGCATCTTGTATTTTCTATGTATACTTGCTATCAAAGCCCAGTGCAAAGCCATGTTCAAAGCTTTAACAGTTATAACTAGAAATATTACTATTTATATGCTAATTCTTCACAACTGTGCACATGAATCACTGTACTAATATTTGTTATGKAAATGCCTCCTTGGAAATACTACTCTAAACCTCAGTCACTCACATCTTTCCAATGGATGCYTTTCTGTTGCCTTGAAGCACAACCCACATGTTTGCATGCTTGTCCTTTAAAATGTAATATGGAACAAATTATGCATGCACAGTATTTACTTCGCACTCCTAAGAGTCTGGCACTGAATATTGTCATGAGTTACACAATGGTACATTTATGATGACGAGAATCTGCTTGCATGCAGCATCGGAACTTGGCTCTGAGGTATTTCATTATGAACCCTGAGTTATGTTTTGACTGCATGGTTCTGGGATGTGGCAATTGCAACCATTTATGACAGGCTTGACTTAGATTTTCATTATTCAATACTGCTGGCTGGTTCACAATTACAAAAAAAAATTTAACAATGCAAGTTACTATTTCAACAGCACACAGTCAACATTTAAGTAAACTTTCACCTTCAGTACTTCTATAGAAGCAGTTACTTCCCAGATTCATTCAGTAATAAGGATATGCTTGAGGTAGGGAAAATTCAGGGTTACAATGACTAAGACAAGAAATAACTACATTTGCGACATACTTGCTAGGTTACTGTTTAAATATTCTGATTATTGCATATCTTCTCTTTAGCTCCTTGCTGAGAAGTGGCCTTTTGGAGATACAGAATTTGGACAGTTTCTTTGCAAATTCCTTCCCTTTATCCAGAAGGCATCGGTGGGAATCACAGTCCTTAACCTGTGTGCCCTTAGTGTGGACAGGTACAGTATGTTTTACTCTTTTGACACCACTCCTGCATATGCAGTTTTCCTCAATTAAGCACGGTCTTCTTAGCAGGCAGATTACAATAGAGATATAACTTAGATTCTGGTTTTTTATATTCTGGCTATCACCAAGCACATCCCTGGCTCAAATTATAATATTAAAGTCCTTGGACTAAWAAACTTTACAYGGTTTATAAAGATATTTAAAAGCTCTAGTAAAGMACTATTTCAACTTCCTTTAGCAGACAAAAATTTATTGGGATTTSACTCAGTATTCAGRTTTCTTTCTCTYATATGAACTCATCTTTGTTTTGTAYCTGAACAAGATCATAATCTTTAGCCTTAAAAATTGGTTTTTTTCAACTCACTGCCTATGGACAATAAACAAGGGTTTATTTTAATAACTTTTACAGCTAACTGAGTTCTACTGAAAAAAATGTTGGAARCTTTCTTTGATGGTTTGAAAATTAATGCTGCTATTTTGTCTTYATATTTATAACAGAATAGCAGATGAGCACTTGACTTCTGTAAAAGCTGGTTTTATGTCTTGAGTTACTTGATCGTGTTCTGCTCCAAAATATCAGTAACTCTGATACAGAACATCTTGCTAAATAAAACGCACTATGTGTATTAGTACAGGGATGCAAAGGTAAAAGAAATGTTAAAATTAATCTTGGTTTGGCTTTACAGAAAACATTCATGSACAAGGTTTGCAGTGGGTAAATCACTTAATAGTATACATGCCTGAAATACAGTTCCTTACTGCATTAGTACCTCATTAGCCAAAATCAGAAACAGAAAAAAAATGTAACGTAACCAATTGTTGTACTTCCATTTTTTGAGTCTGAGAAATACAAAAAGAATTATATTTCTCAAACAATAGCTGCCCACCATTAAATAAAATCCTATSGACTGCTCTAAGGAATGAATCATGGATCAAGCACATGAAACAGACAGTTAGATAAATTCTGACAACTGCAGTTTCACTAGATGAAGTTCTACTGTTAAATACATTTTTAWAAATTGGAAATAACATACCTTTTTGTAGATGCATGCATATTTTTGAAAGGACTGATTTGCCAATCCTCACAACAATAAAATATTGTTTTCATTTGAGTATAAAGTCTTGTATGGGATCAGACTCAGACTATTTAATTTCCTCCCCCAGCTTAGACACTTTGSCAAGGATATATTCTTTATCATCTGGTTTTATTCTATTAAATGTTTGCAGAGGATGTGTATTAGAAAACAGACGTATGAAACCAGAKTCTGATTCTGGCTAGCAAGAACTGAATCTAGGTTCAATCACCATGAAATCTCAGAGTACATTCAGTAAGTTAGGTTGGACGCTGTAAACTGGGCTCATTAATACAAAATTCCACATGAGCTAATGGTTGCTTTTTAAAATGGAAAATGAATAAATATGAAATAATGTGCTGTCATAGCTGAATGGTATCTGGTCTAGAGATGAGTTAATTCTTGCTTTAAAAAGCTCCTGAAAACTATCTTGTTCATAATTATTTTGGATGTCTATATATTGTATTCTATGACACAGAAAAAGATGGAATCAATTGGTATAGTGAATTAAGTGCTCCACAGTTTTGGTAACTGTTGACTCTCTGTCCCTGTTTCAGGCTGCAGCCTTAATTTAGAACAGAATTTAATTTTTTTTTTTTTATTTATTTTTTTTTTTTTGCTATAAAGACAGTTCCCTGTGCTAACTACATCCTATTGTGAAACTCCACTCATTACTACTGCTCTCAAGTGACTTGCCCTGACAGTGTATTAAGGTTTAACTGTGCATGCCCGAGGGGAACAATGGCCACTCACATGTGGAGAGGGTTTTAAGAGGCTGACAGAAAGCCAGCCATTCACCCTTTGGAGGAAGCTCACATTTGCCTCAGATGCCCTTCAGGCATTTTTAAACTCTAGGTCACGATGGTGACTGTAGTGACATAGCACCACTCTTTTTCYAAACAGTGCCTGAGTGTGACTAAGAGGAAGGATATTTCCCTGCCTGAGTTTTTAATCTTGCTTATGTCTTCACCACAATGATTTTGATTAAGAAATAGGTTGAAGAAGAAAAGTGAAGATATGGATCTCATTTCATGTGTATACACCCTCTTCTTGCCTCCTCTGCATAGCAAATTRCATAGAACAGTAATCCACAGGTAGATATTTTTATTTGGATCAGTGAGACAAGTAAAGATTGTAACACTAAAATAAAACTCTAAGGTCATTATTGTATTAACACATTTGCATTAAATGAAGAAGGGCGGTGGTCTCTAATAATGAAGCAAARCAGTTCAGTATCAGCAACAGGAGGSACATTTAGGAAYTGTCCTGACACTCATCCTGACAGTGACTGCTTTATATGTGCTTGAAGTTGTCTCTTGTTTTCTGCATTGCTTTTCACTYTTACAAAGGGCTGATGACAATTGCAAAACAGAGACATGTTATATTACCAGGTCATTTGACCACCTAATTTTCTAATGCAGTTAAAAGGAACAGGGGAACAAAAGCACCTACTGATGTTCACAGATCCAGACAAGATGTTCTTCTGAAAAAAATGCTTTAAGCATGCTATAACTAGATAGGACTGCAAAATATTTAATTGTATATATGTATATAAGTTGATAGCACATGTACAAGCAGGTGAAAATGAAAAGTGGAGGGAGAAGAGGAGGCACAACGCTAAACAGAGAAAAGGAAGTGGCCTGGAAAAAAAAAGTGAATATTTTAGACAAGGAGACAAGAGGGAAATAAACAGAAAAAAGAGGAAAGTATGACAAATCTCACACAATTTTTAGATGGGTGAATCAARTGCCATGTATTATGCATGTATTTTATGTCAGTTCCCTGGCAGACATCCTATGTTTTCCAAGTATGAGGGAAATAAACCCTGAAGTACTTTCTCACTCTTAATTATGGGAGGTTTGTGGCTAGACAAAGATCCTCTGTATTACATAACTCACAGAACAACCACATGAAAAATATTACTACTAAAATTGTTATTACTACCACTCTTTTTCAAATCACTCTTACAGCAGTTAGTAAAGAATCCAAGTAATTGCAGGTTAATATGCATTCAGAAAATTCTGATCTAATTACTRAGCTTAAGTTTTAGCTGAAACCATTCATAAAATTATCCAGCTAATAATTTCTTATTTGAGAGTTATTTGAATTGTAAACTGAAAAAAAATCAACAAATACATACAGTACCTAAATCCTTATTGCTGTGCACAGTGATCTTCTCACGTGCAAAACAGATGCAACTCAAAAGCACAGGCACAAAAATGCAAGAAAGGAAATAACTGGATGCACAATTTGCAACCTATTGGTTGTCACTTATATACTTACACATTGGCACAACACAAACTGTACATTTGCTACCTGAAAAATACATACTGTGTGCCAGTCCCTGTTTTCTAAGAATATCAGTTGGTCAAGGATGGGATAGTACCTTGTGTAGCTGATAGAACTGTTTGTAAAATTACCAATCTGTAGAAAGTAAACTTGGAACCGATTGGTAAATTTCTAAAGTTCACAAATATTTGAGTATTTGTGTGAAATGGCATTTCTATGAATATTCCATTCCACGATTAAAGCCAAAAACTGATATTCAGCAAAATGAAATAAGATAGGATGATAAATTATTTAAAATTAAATTTGGATCGTAATAGGAGTATTTGTGAGAAGATATGGTACTGGATTTTATTTTCTTAATTCTCCCATATGTTTCAATGGTCTCAGAATTCTAACCTCAGAGCCCTCCTCATGAGTGGACCATTGCCTCTGTCCTTTCTCATGTGCTTTGATGATAAGGATGCCTTTAGAAGATATTTCTATTTTTCATGTGCAAGTCCAAGTTGTAGTTTTCTTTAGTATGCTCGAAGTATTTATACACACATTTCTGTAGAAATGATGCACAGAGAGTTTGTCTGTAGTACAACTGTGACTGTGCTGTGCATGACACTGCTGCAGTTATCAAAACAAAGGTTTCCAGTCTGTTTTCTGCAGGCTCTGACATCTTCCAGTGACATTGTGTAAAAATGTTTGCTGAAGTTTTTGTGAGGGGCTTAAGCCTGGATTTGCATTCAGGCATTGCCCTTCCTCTGACACTGAGGCTACAGGGGATGGAATTCCCAAGTCTTTCATCCAGTTAATAAGCACACTTCCAAACTAAATAGGGGGTGTGATACAAGAAATCAGAAGAAATGCTTTGTGCATGATTCCCATACTACTGTATTGATTAAAGGAGCACTGACAAAGCCTTTCAATAACTAAATTTTCCCAATCCCTATAGCCTAGGTCCTATATGTTCCTCAACAAATGTTTTTCACATCAGAAGCTCTTCCTTCTTTCCATCTTAAAAATTCAAAATGCAGTATTTCCCTTCTTAATCTGACATTTCTTAAAGCACATGAACAACCTTTCTCAACTTTTTCTACTCACCTAAAGAAGAAAATTTCACCAGTGAATGCCATAATATATCCATGTAATTCCAAATGGGAAGTTGCTATTATTTTAGGGAAGTAAAATAAGCAGTCCAGAAGCTGTTACACCACTAATGACAGAAAGCTCTCCATCTTGAATTTCAGATTATTACAAGATCAAAAATAATATTGGTTCTTTCAATTGGTTCTGTCTTTGCTTAATTGTTGTGAATGCTAAGTAATCAATTTATTGCAGCCATTGCAGGACAACACTTAAAACGTGCTGCTGAAAATTTAATTTATGGACTGGATTGTACTCTGTATTCTATGTCTATTAGCCTTCCCTGAATAATTTTACAACCTTCTGATCAGAATTGACAGAGAGATTTGAGGTCTCAAAGCTAATAAATTACTACAAGTTCCTTGAAAACTGAGAGACAGGTAGAGGAGAAGGTTCCTCTCAGTTCACTGAACAGTGTAAGCAGAACAAATGCATTTTCACTTCATTGAGAGTATTTTCCCAGTGTTTCATTGCCTAGAAGCTGACAGCTTCACTTTAGATAGCACTGCGGCCCCAGCTGAGGCAGCTGAAACAGATGGATGCTTTGTATCTGTTAGAAAGGTTATGTGCCTGGAAGCTTTTTCTCCTCAGTAAGGTCAGTTATTTAGTGGAAGATACAGTCTGTCCTCACAAACCTTGCCTAATTTAATTAGAAATCATTAGTGCAGTCCACCTAGCAGAATTCCACACTATCCCACATCCAAGCAGAACAGGAGCAGGTGGCTCTCTTCTCTCTACCCCTTGATGTGCCCTGTTACGTCCTAGGTGACTTGACAGCCAGCAGAGGCCTTGAAACAGGCAGAAAAGCCAAGTAATATGAGTCTCAGATGTCAGCTTTAGGATTTTACTTGCTGTATGACATTGAACCGTGATCTTATAAGAAGGACACTGGGCTGGAAGTTGATGCCTCTCTCTTTCAGGTATAGAGCAGTTGCATCCTGGAGCCGTGTTCAGGGAATTGGAATTCCAATGATCACTGCTATTGAAATTTTCTCCATTTGGCTTCTGTCCTTCATACTGGCCATCCCAGAAGCWATTGGCTTTGCTGTGGTATCTTTCAGATACAAGGATGCAAATTTTGTTACCTGCATGCTTAAACCTACAAACGATTTCATGYTGGTAAGTAACATCCTTTCTTCTCTATTTGAAACCCACAATATACTTAGATTAGACGATTAAGATACTGGATGATAATAGGGTTTATTCATGCATTAAAGTGCAAAATGTATTCTAATGTATATTGGTGCAAAGAGGATTATATGTTTACAGTGACTTGTCTGTACTTTCAGCTAGAGAGATGTAATGGGACTTTACAGCATTTTCATTTCTTCACTACTGAGGATTGTTACTACAGACATTTGCAATTCAGGCCTGCTTAAAGTACAATTAAGAGATGCATCAGCGTAGCCAGAGTCTTGAAAGCTTTTGAGTTTCAAGGTACAACACCTTGGAGCTTGTAAATGTCAAAACACATGTTTTACCATGATTAGTCATCCTTTTGCATGCAGTAGTCAGCTCTCTTGGCACACAAAGAAAAGGGTGGGGCCAYGCTACATGCATTAAAGTCAAATAAAAAATAATCCTTTCATTTACAAGAAATCATGACTACAAAGCTGACAGACCCACACCTCCAGCTAGATGCTTGTGCAGTGTTAGCTGTCAYTAAATACAGCAGCTCAAGAGCAAGAGGAGTGCCTGAGACACACCAGGTTGCTTTGGCAGGTTTCCTACCCCTCAGCCTCTGTGCTCCTGCAGATTAAAGGCTGCCAATACCCACATCAGATTCTGCAAAGCAGAATTCACAAATCAGATTCACAAAAAACTCAGGTGAGAAGTCACTACAGAATCAATAGATTACTGCACAAGGASATAGTGGTTTTCTACCCGGACTTACAATGAGAAAATATCTTAATTTTTYAATTTGTGAATCCAGAGAAAGGCCAGACATCATTCATCCACTAATGAAAAAGTGATATTTTGATTTGACATAGAGAAGGCAGAGAGCAGCAGGTCTTGAGTCTTGAGAAAAACTCAGTATTTTCTTCTGGACTAGAATTTTTCATAACAGAGTATAAGTTTCTCTCTTTTGAATGTTTGGAATGTCTGCTTTTATTGGACTAGAATATGACTTGGCCTAGAACTGGGAAGAATAGGGTAAAGTGAAGCTAGGAATTTTAGAAAATAATAAGTATGGATGATTAGTTTTTCAGCAGAACATCCCCAGGTTTGGTAGCGTTACACAGATGGAAGGGATAGCAGAAAGAGCAAGAGATAATTGAAAGAGAAGACAAAAGGAACTCCCTAATTACCTTAAATAATTAATAGTTAAATAATTATAATTAATAACAAAAAAACAATAATAATAAATAATTAATGTAAAGATTAGAAAAATAAAGATGGAGTGGAATTTCCTAGAGCTTACTATATTTTTCTTTCTTAACTCCACAGTCTATATGATGTAGATAGTGTAGTTATAAGACTGTGATTTATGAATTACACTGCAGCAAATTTTCTTTCTGCAGTGGCTGGTTTTCTCCACAAATGTGCCTGGACAATCTTTATTTCCTCTTTTCCTAAGAAAAATATTAGTTTTCTCTTCCCTCTTCTCATAAACATTATAGTTCAGGTCTTCCATAGGCATGCTAACTTTAATGACTACTGTTCTGTTCTAAATGTGCTAAGTAGAATGGCTTGGTTTGTTTTCCTAGCAGAAAATAGTACCTCTTACTCAATATAATTCAAAAGTGCCAATCTCCCCACAGCAGTTTGATTTTTAAGGAGACAAACCAGCAGTTATGTCCAAGCTGAGAGTAAATGTTGCATGTGTCAGTCAAAATGGAGAGCTTTGTGTTGCACACAAGTATAAACATGAGATTAAAGGGGAAATACCATTTTAACCTTAAGTATAGCATCTACCACAACAAGCACCACAACAAACAAGTACTAAACTTCAGGAAGGATTTATTATTAACTTTTATTTTTAATAGGAGCTTTCTTCATGTTTAAAACTATCCTTGAAGGATTTAGAAAATTCATGCTAGACCATGATTCCCAAGAGGCTAAGTGCACTAGGAAGCTTGTTWAAAATGCACATTTCCTGTAGAAAACAAGTTCCATGTGGGCTTTCATGACAAACAAAAGAATGCCTACTTCTCTTAAATCAACCCATTTTTGTGTTTTGATGTAAGCTTTGTGAAACTCAGATTCCTCAATTAATCATTTACAGACATTTTTGAGTCATTTTTTTATAACTCCACGGGGCCAGATCCTCATCCAGAACTGATGTATTGGTCAGGGCTGTGACACAGACCTCTGCGTGTGTTTTCTTGACCAACAGGCAATGTTCATGAAAGCTGGAACACTCATGGGACACAAAGTTTTCCTTGTAAACATGGCACGGATTCACGTAGTACACATTTTGTTGYGCTACCCAGCCAATGTGATTCTAGCCTGCCTTGGAGGAATTTGCCATGGAAAAGATAATTGTCTCCATGTATTCGTAATTCTTTTCTCTGCAGAAGGAGCACTAATTACATTTGCCCTCAGTACAAACTCCTCAAGTACGAGGCATATTGTTTTCTTGGGTTTTTTGCTGGCAAAAGCTGCCCTCTTGGTGCGGGAAATTCTGCCCCCAAGGAAAGTGGAACTACGCAGGAGACTGTAGCCTTTCCTCAGGATAATGAGGAGGCGGAAACAAATTAATCAACACAACACAGTGTCCCAAAGTAAGGTGGGATTGTGGCCTAGGAACAAGCAGTGTAATCTAAACTAGCACATTCTGTATGCAGCTGTATTGGGGCAGAGGGAAAAAATCAAAAGTATTGCCTTTCTCTTAGTAACTAACTTTCTAATGTAACCGAAGTAGATTTTAAAAGTAACATTGTGAAGCACCAGTATATTAATTGTATCAACTTTTTTTTCAGTTTTTAAAGTTTAGTGCTGTTTGGTTTTAAATGTAAACAAAACATCAAAAGTTTGACTTTTTCAAACAGGGTTCATAAAATCCTCAGGCATAAGAATTTTGACATTTGGTGTGGGAACTGTGATATTAGAAGAGCACATCCGCTAGGAACAAACAAGCTGGGGAAAGAGTGACACATGCCTTTTATACTAATAACCTAGACACAGGAAGTATTTAAAATGCCATATCTCAGCATACTTTTGKCTGAGCATAAAAGTTATAAACCAAGACACAATATTTTCTGAAGTCTGAAAACATGATCCTCAACASGAAAGAGTAATTTTATATGTTTGGTCAAATGTAGTATTTCCCATAACACATAAATGTATTAACTTACAGCACTGCTTACATTACAGCTAATACTAAAATTACACAGAGCAGAGTACTGCTATTCTATCAATACTTCAGCGTCCTGTCACAAAAGGGAAATGATGTGAATGGCAGTCAATGGGTTAAAAGTAACTGTACCTCTGCAAGCCATCCCTAAGCTTTGCACATATCAGAGAAACACTTATGAAATGGCTCCTATCTGCCCAGGACATARGCAAACCAACTGCCAACCTTTTCGCTGATAAAAAAAGGTGATTAAACTTACAAGACATTTTGAATTTTCCTTTTTTGGAATCAGGACAGAAGCTRTAGAGGTAAATGGCATTTCCTGAGACAGGCTTTTAGTAAGATTTGTTATCTCAGACTGACACTGTCTACATTTTGGAATGTCTTTTTCAYGTAACTCTATTCCAGTTTTCATGAATGAATATAAATGTTCAGAAAGTACAACAACAACAAAAAAATATCCAGCCCAGGACAAATTGCAACAAAGGTACAGGCAGGCTATCTGTAAGRTAAAGTAAATGTTTACACTGCCACAATCCCTATTTTGATGTTGGTCAAAAAAAGATCAACAATAAGCAAACAGACTGATATCAGTGTACCATACCAACTGTCATGCTTTTCCAAGACCTTTCTGTGGTATTTTGCATTGAATCATAAGAAAATATCTGCTCTTTTCTTTCCCTTATCTGCAGTTTTACAAAGATGCAAAGGATTGGTGGCTGTTTGGTTTCTATTTCTGCATGCCACTGGCATGCACTGCCATCTTTTATACACTAATGACTTGTGAAATGTTAAACAGAAGAAACAGCAACTTGAGAATTGCTCTCAGTGAACACCTTAAGCAGGTAAATATATTAGAAACACCAATGTTTGAAAATATTATTCTTCTCCCTATGGGTTACATTAGAAATATTTCAAAGTGTACTTGAATACAGTAAACTACAGAAGTAGAAAGTGAGGATGTGGGTTATTTATGATGTTAAGGCACTGATTTAAATGAGGAACAAAAGACTAAATCAYAGTATAAGGAAGCATTGAAGACAGTATGCTCAGGAAACTAACACGTTTCTTTCTTTTCTTATAKATGACAGTTGTGCTCTCCTGCTCTTTAACCTCAAATCACTATTGGCTAAATGCTTTGAAATTTAACTACAAAGATTTGGCAAAAACATCTCTTTTTCTATATAAAGATATGCCTCCATGGATCTTTCCTCCTTTTGGCACTCTTTGATATGTAACTGTAGTTACATATAAAAAGCAATTGTAGAATAACCTACTTTAGAATAGAGTGGATTTTGTTTCTCAGGGTTATTGCACTGTTGCAGTACCAYTGCTGTAGCTGCTTTGAAAAGATCAACAGGAGGGCAGAGCAAACAACTGATCACAGAACAAAATTGCTCACAGAACTGTCAGGTCTCACTTTGCTGGTTTGGCAGTGCTGTCTGATGTTTAATGTTTCACTGAAATTTTAAAAACAATCTGGAGCTTTTCCCCTGCGTTAACCTCAGCCCTTTAAATTCCACTCTTTCTTTCAACTTCCATATTCACAGATGTGAATCCCTAAAGTAGTCCTCTCTGCATCAAAGTGAGTTCTCTCAGAGGTTCCTCCTCTGCTGGTTCATTCCAGATCAGGGCTGACCGGAAAATCCACCCCTGGTCAGATTCTCCACTTTTTTCCATCATCAGGCCCCRGGGCTGCAACCCTGTGTCCTAGGGCCACACACAAGCTACTCCACCCATTAGAACTAGAATGGTATGTACTAGGAGGTGGGGGAATCCACCCTTTCCCATCCTGAAGTGCAGTGCCCACCAACCACTCAGACTGGCTACTTCAGGATGACTTTATGCCACAATTCACAAAAGCTTGCCTTTTTAATTATCACCTTTTCCCCTTCCCTTCCCTTCCCTTCCCTTCCCTTCCCTTCCCTTCCCTTCCCTTCCCTTCCCTTCCCTTCCCTTCCCTTCCCTTCCCTTCCCTTCCCTTCCCTTCCCTTCCCTTCCCTTCCCTTCCCWCCCTAATATCCTTGTTCAYATTAATGTCTGATCAYTATCTTTTTCATGTTTTGATAAAAACTACTATTATAAAAAAGATTAAACTRTAAYAGTCATACTCAAARYCTAACAAGACTGTAATTACTCATTTGATTTTAAGTTCTTTAATGACAGAGCTTTGCAGTGCTTGTTACTGTTACAATATAGTGGTATCTCACCCTCCGATGCTTGTCTTTAACAAACCCATGCCTACMAAACACCAATGGTATGCGTTGTCAAAAATCTACTAAAACATCTGTAACTCTCTAGAGTCACATGAAATACCCATTAAATTGAAATTMTTTCCTAAGTATTACAAGATTAAGCTGTAATACCGACATTTCTAAAATGTTTGTAGAGGAACTATTTACTTGAAAACATCAAGATAGCATAGTAAGGAACACATAGCAAAATCAATATACTGTGCAGTATCCTTTTATGTAACAATATATCAGAGAGAATGATACAATATTCTACAAATGACCCTTGTGCTCCAACTGCTCCAGCCTCAGTGATACGCAGGTTCTGTTGAAGATGGCTACAATCAAGAACAYGACAAACCCCATAAAAAAGAGTTCAGGGACATCAGGTAGTCTGGAAGCTGCATTTTGGGAATCCTTTCATGATTTATCTATATTACTCACTTTGGTGCCAAAGGGAGTAATCAACTGCAATCACCTGCTAGTGTGAAATAGGCACTCAGTATACACTCTTATCTTCTTTTTCTAGCGCCGAGAAGTTGCCAAGACAGTTTTCTGTTTAGTTGTGATTTTTGCTCTTTGCTGGTTCCCTCTCCATCTGAGCCGGATTTTGAAGAAAATGGTTTACAATGAAAAAGACCCCAGCAGATGTGAACTGCTCAGGTACTTCATTTTCCAYGCCAATAGTTTGTACTGAGAAGACATAATGCTGCATACTTACAATTTATATGAGAAATGTCCTTGCACAATGCAGCTGTGGTGTCTATTMATTTTAAGYTGCACCCATTTTCAGTGGTTTCAGTTTTARTGGGGTAGCATAATCTCAATAAATGCTGTCTGTCAGCATTTCAATCACTTTGCTCYGGATTTTTTTAACTCCATGAGACARGYTATTATAGACATGGCATAGTACAAGATTAGATTGAGGGAATTTGGTAACACAGAAGTACTTTCTGTGACAGAAGAGGCTGTAACCACAAAGAACATGGAYGCTTCAATAGCATATGAGTTGTTAAAATGGTTTTCTTCCTCTTGCCTAGTTTCTTGTTGCCCTTGGATTACATCAGCATCAACCTGGCAACCATGAACTCTTGTATAAACCCCATAGCTCTGTATTTTGTGAGCAAGAAGTTTAAAAACTGTTTTCAGGTAAGCTTTTCTTGATAAGATTTTATGTCCAGTTAGCTAACTATTGAATCACTTAGTTGTTATCTATTTTAACAGCTGGGAGAAGAGGCATGCAAAGGARTGAAAGAGTATAAATTGTCTGGTTTAGCAGCTAGCAGCTCACATAGCACACATACCAAGCTGAAAGTGAAACTGTCTACTTTATCTGAAATACAAAGCAAATAAATAAGTTTGGCATCCTCATATGTGTGAACTGAGATAAACATGCTCTTGTAAATACTATTTATCTGCACGAGACATGCACATGAATTAGAATTGGTTGATAACTATTTGCCACTCTCYGTGACACCAAGCTGCATGCGTTAAACAATCTCACTAATGACTAAAATTGTCAGGGTTGAATACCAAATCAGGCACYTCAGTTGACTTTGGCAATTAAATATGCAGTGTGTCTTCTACCTGCATCTTCCAGTTCCTATACATGCAAATGTATTTTAAGGCTAAATAATTTCCTTGTGACAATGTCCTTTGCAAGTCCCTGTCCACCTATTAAAGGCAACACAAGAAGGTAAAAAAAGAGAGTCAAGAAAGTAATGAAATGGAAAAGCAAGACTGGAATAGCTTTATTTGCAATGAAAAACAAAASATGACAGGACTGTGCCACTAAACTTTAAGTCTCAGAATAGACAGAATCCAAGCTAATGAAAAAAATGTGAAGAATTATTGGACTAGGGAATACCTGTTTGTCTGAAGCCTGCTCAGATTTACCAACTGTTTTAAGTGAGTATTTTCATATGATAAATGAGTGGTCAGCTTCTATTACTAACTGCAAAATGTTACATCTCAGTATATTCACTGTCCCTTCTCCAATACAATTTTGTCTTCTTCTAAGATGTGAGGAAACGTAAGTCATGGGCTCGGGAATTTTTCTTCTTTTACATGCTAAGCAGCATGCAAATCCCTAAATTTGTGAAGCACAGTGATGAAGAGGGGGAAAAAGACAATCAATCCAGAACTTAACAATATGTATTGAATTCTGTCAGTTCTCAATCTATTTACCTTCATTAAACAAATTTCCCTTTTCATAGTGTGAAAGGTTTTTGTTAAAAAGAGGTACAGCCTGGGCCAAATTTGCTGCATTTGCGATGTTTAATCACAAGAAATGTTTGCATCTGAAGACAAAAGTTTCCCTGAACTAGAATTATCTGTTCATTTGTGAATAAAAATTATGGCTGGAAATCTGCACAGAATCGAGAGATTTGTCTTAATGTTTTATTAATTTTTTTATTTATTTCCAGTCATGTCTTTGCTGTTGCTGCTCCCAGTCTAAGAGTCTGGTGACTTCAATGCCCATGAATGGAACAAGCATTCAGTGGAAAAATCAAGAACTAAACAATCACAATACAGATCGAAGCAGCCATAAAGACAGCATAAACTGAAAGTTAAGGACTCTCGCACCATTTCAGAATGAAACAGGAAAAGAAGAGTCACTACAAACCTATTACAACAGGAAGTCCAGTGATGAATGAATTCAGACGTGCACCATTGTACCTAACTCTAGAGGTGATGGAATGTAACTGTGATATTCTGTGAGCTGAGATCCTCTGGACAAWAATTCTGCCTCTGACAAGGATACTGATGTGATTATGATACCAAAAAACTGGCTTGAACTACACAAGTGGTTTCCTCTTCTGAACCAGGCAGGAACTGTCCAGTGTCTGTGACTGGTACAATGYAATATTTTCACCTGATTATCACCTAGAATTAATCACTCTGGAACTTCTGAGAAGATATCAAAATGGAATCTATCTGTGACTATTTTTTTTCTCTGCCCATTTGTCTTTTAAGTTCTATTTTTGTGGTGGATATAGTCCATGCACCAGTTTGTTTTGCATGTTGTTGTTGTTGTTGCTGTTTTTCAGGATTATGTTGGAAAATGTTTTGGTTCACACCAGCATTTTACTCACTTATRTTACAGTGGGTCGGGAGATTAGCTGGGCAGTTCACATTTGTAGCACTTCAGTATTCAAATATAGGAAGAGACCATTTAAATAGCATCAACATTTGGCACTTAAGCACAGATTAATACCCAAAAAAGAGGTATTAATAATACAGTACTATACTGTGTTATTTATTCTAATGCTCTGTACAAAATAAACGTAATCTATATCAGCAAAAAGAATTAAAGATGCTCACAGATGGGCACCTTACAATGTGTTTTTATTAACTTGACATGTTAAATCTTAAACTATATGAACCTTTTAATCTATTTAGACTATAGCTGCATTAAATCTAAGTTGAAATGAGGGTCAATGGAACCTAATGAAACACAATTAAAGCTGTCCATAGCTTTCTGAGAATATGGTTACTATCAGAGCAGCTATGCACAACAYTATTTTCACATGGTGAACATGAGGTTGTAGTCAGAGTGAATGTAGAACTGTGGAAGTCCATAAAAGTTGAATGTGCAAAAGTGTATTTTGTGCCTTATTACAGCGTTCTCTGTCTTACACAACATTCAAAGATTTTAATGGGGTTTTAATAGGTTATCAGCGTTGTTAACCATACAAATGCTATTAGCAATATATAGAAACTATTGCTTGCATACATGTAAACTGATGATTTCCTTATTATTTCCATTCATCAAGGCTACATGACAAGAGATTCTTTGTTTGCCTATAAAAATTTTAATAGGCATCCTTTCATTAAATAGTGGAACTCAATAGTGTGGTGTCATATATAATAGGTCCATGCACAAATCTGTTAGGCAATTTATAGCATCTTTTGTGCTAGGCTAAGAAGCACTAATCAAAATTCCACAAATCTTTAAACATCCATTTTATTTCCAGTGAAAGATGTAATCCTTTAATATTTTTACTTAAGAGGTCAAAATGCCAGTGCCTGCAGTGACTTCTGCTGCACAAATTTCCCCAATGTTTACATTCACAATAATCTTCAGAAGTATATTTTTAAAAAGATTCTTTAAATTGGTTTGTGTATTTTTTGTGTGCTTTTGTCTCTGTGACATATCTGCGTGTATAAATACATACAAATTTATGTTCATATGTTATAAACTTAAATACAGTCTTCTGACAGTGCTCTGTAGTAATGCCTAAGAGCATGGTATGGAATGAGACTTGGCTGAATTTTACTTTAAACATTTCATCCTCAAACTGTATCAGAAATCATAGTGAATGAGTAACAATGCATAACAATGAGTAACAAAGACTCTTTACATCCTGAAACCTTCCTCCTCCTTCGATAGAACATATTGAGGTGATAATAAAGGTAAACAGAAAACAGAAGTGAGGAATGGGTTTAAGTTGTAAATTGCCCATTTATTTCAAGGCAGGGGAAATCTTTGTGTGTATTCCCCTTTTCTGCTATTTATCTGATGGTTAGATTGAACCAAAAATTTCATACACCTGCAAACCAGTAATGTGATTGCTCAGAGACAATATTTCTTCCTGTCTACAAAAGACAGTGAGCAATAGAGACAATTTAAGTTAGTTTACGGTTCTTAACTTCTACCAAAAAAAACCAAAACAAAACAAAAACCCATCTACATCAAAAAGTTTCAGACTGTGAAATGGGTCACTTTAATGCTTTACAAGCACTGATGCAAACCAYGGGTCATGAAAATTTAACAGTTTTCCTTCCAGCACTAACACTTCTAACATCTATTGCTTTCAACCCAGGAGTTGGCTCCGTTATGTGGCAGAGATACATGAACCTGCACACACATAGCATCATTTAAACCAGTTCAGAGTAGTTGGAAAAGTAGAAAAATTATCTTCCTACTCCTCATAATGCTGACTGACCTTAGCACCAGCATTATAAAATACAAAACTTTCTAACTAATGAAAACAAGAGGGTAAATTATCTAACAGAAGAGAGAGGTACTTTATAGAATCCTTTAGAATTATTTTTGTGATCTTATTTAGAAATCAGAGCCTGCAAAAACTAATCGATGATGCTCACACCATTTCTCCAGCCTGTGGAAGGACAGAGAGAGTCTAAATAACAGTGACAAGTGAGGTCCTGGGAGGTCTCACGCTCTTTTTCACCATGCTTGCTTTTTTCTATTTTCACTGGCGGCTGCTCCTCCCACTCACAAATTTATTGTAAGGACAAAGGGTGTTGTGATGTGACAGCTACAGTGCGGCGGCAACTGTTTCTGCAAAACTTACTAAGATACTTTTTAAATTCTCTCCTTCCCACTGAGAATGGTAAATATTCCTTTTGGTATTGTGTCTACCCTCAACTGTGAAAAAGATATTTTTCAAAAAGAACCAATGAAAGTACTCCACAATCCTGTGTCACACAGAAGCTGCTTTCTCTTTTACATTCAAACAACTTTCCATAAGTAYCTTTCCATCCTGCTCTTATGTGATAGATGTTTTTATGCCTGCTGTTTGCATTCCTCTCAACTGATCTGCAGCTAACAGGAGCTCTACTTCACAAGTTTCAGATCAGCTTCATAAACTTTTTGTAACATCTGTTCATTGTAATCAAAATCCATTTAACTGTCACATTCATCGTTTTTGTGGACTTCAGAACTCCCAGCTGCTGTCAGTCCACTCACTGTATAATTTCGTTGACAATCTCACTACTTCACTTCAAGTGCTATGCAGAGTTTTCTTTACTTTTAAAATACAGCTGTTCTCCTTGTTTTCAATATGCATTTTTTCAAAMTACCTCACTAAACATTTCCTCTTTGGAATATTTTATACTTATTTGTTTCAAGGAGACAGCATACATAGGTTTGCACTTATATCTATGTCTGTATGTATTTATTTATTTACATGTGAAACTGTGTTTCAGACTTGACCTAGCCAGCTCCTGTGCATTTAAAAAAAAAAAAAAAAAATTATACAGTTCACCATAAATGTCACCTGACAAAGCCATTAGCTTGGTTCTGAGACAAGATACTTATGTGACTCTCATATCTGAACATGTTTATTTTTGCTTTTAATACAGTCGGTTTCAGGTGTGCCTATCTGCYCCTCCATCCTCCAAACTAACTATGRACCCYCTGCCCAGTTTCAATAAATTTTACAGAACAGAGTTACCATCATTATGAAGCTACAGAGAATTTCACCAGACCTGCAGTATGGGAGGAAGAAAAAAATTCTACTTGTGTTCTATGCAGAAAATTTCTGAAATGTAGTTTGTGCATACTCAATAAATTCACTTGAAAGGAAGATGTTAAAAACATTACAGCAGCAGAMAAAGCCTTGATCAGAGCTTGCAACTTGTGAGACATCCGAGAATCAAACCACAAACCACAAATTCTTGGAAGCCAGTATTTGTAAGTTCTGTTGCTTGTGGAATTACTTGATGCTTTTTTTTTCTGCCTCTCTTTCATCATTTACATATTTACTGCAATCTTGTTACTATATAATTTGATTCTGTGAAGCCTTATGGGTTTCAGTTTGTGAGAAGACAGGGTACAAATTCAAATTCTACTGCATTTGTATTAACAGATTCCTGCTCAAATGTCCCTGAGGCAAAGCACACATTTTCATTAGAAGAAACACCAGGACCGCATGCTAACACTGCCTTGCAAAGTTTCTTCCAGACAATTAGCACTGCAAAGCTTAGCTCAGCAAAGTGTTCCTCATTTATACACCTCACTCTTTCAAAAACTAAATAAAGGCAATTATCCCCAAAATCAGAGCAAAATAAGACACATAAAAAGTTTACAGATCAGAAACAGCTCTCAAGTTGCATAGGAATAAAAAAAAAAAAAAGACACCAAAATCAGGCATGTTTAAAATGTGGCTCTAAAAGAAACACAGCTTATCATTAGTCTAAGTGTGGGAAAGGAAGATATGAACTAAATAAAAAAATGCAGTCATCTCCAGTTTCWCTAAAGGAAGATTAAATTAATTGACCTCTGCTATCTCATCCAGAATCAGTTTTTCCCCTGTACAGATACCACTGCTTCTAAACTGAGCTGTGRCTTGAGTCCCAGTATCTTATTGTCACAATAATAAAGCTCAACAGAGTAAGTGTTACCACTGGTAAGAAAAAGAAAACAACTTAACCTGTACTTCAGCAGCACTCTGTCCACATTTCTCAGAGTAACTGAGTGTCTGCAAACTGCTCTGAAATTAATGATTTTGTGCATCTCAGAATAAGGCCTTTACTTTAATCTCACATTGTCTTTGTCCTTGAGAGTAAAAAAGGTTGAGAATACAAATTACTGAATCAAGTATCCAAAACAATTCATAAGAAGCACTTCCAAGCCATCCAAAATGTACTGGTTTTACTCGGTCCGATTTTTGGTGGTGGRGGGATGGGACACAAGAGAACACACYTCCTGCTACAATGTWTTAAACAGAGGTGRAGAATAGAAAACCATCATTACACCACTGTGCCATCCTGTACCCACACTTCATATTTATTGAAATGTCTGTGTCTAAAGTTTTTTTGTCTTTTCCCTCTAAAACTGCTGCACAGTGGTCTTCTTGGTATTGACTCTGAATAAAGTATCCATTTGGATTAGYTTTCTTCCCAATATCTACACAGACACACAGTCTATTCCATCACAGAAGCACAATTAAACCACACCATGACAAAAGCCACAAATTTCTACAGTCAAGCTTTAAACAGAAAACTAAGAGGGTACTCTTGAGATGAATACTACAGTTCAGTACTACTAGTGGAAAGTACATTGATTTTTTAATAGATAAAAAAGAAACCATATCACTTTTGCTAATTCAAGAAAGAGTAGGTATTTACATTAGTAATAAGAAAGTCCACATTTCATGAGCTGGAATAAAATGTTGCAAGGGCTATAAATCTTCATGCTCCAATATATAAAATAGGCATAAATTCTGGTGATTAGGAAGACATAACTCTACAATGCAAGATTCTTTGATTTCTCTGCAATGTTTCTCTAAAGTATTAGGTTCAAGACACATCTCAAACTCAGAGATAATTGTGAAGATAGGGAGATGYTTACTGAGTTTGTCTTCTTGCACTGCAAAAAATCTTTGACTAACATTTTTCATAATAGCCAGCATGTTCTGGCTTTCCTCTACCACAAATGAGCTGCAACAATAGCAATACCAAGGACTACTCCAAAATCAGAATCTTACTTACTGGATTATTTCTTTTTTATGATCATGTGTTTATATGAGAATTTGTTTGGCAGAACTTTAAACAGTGGTTGTTCTTCCATATAAAGCACATTATTAACATAAACCTCCCTGCAAACAGATCTTCCCTTCCATTTACTTTAAAGTGTAAGCCACTGAGACATAAAAAAGTATGTCTGAAGTAACACTGGGATAAAGCCATGAGGCTGTTCTACAAAGAAAACTGTTGGCTACACTTCAGTATAAAAAAGCAGCTAAAGAAAGATCAAATYCATTTCTAAGATCTTGAAAACCTTCAATCTAGAACTGATGTTAAATATGAACTGCATCCCAGTTCTGTGATTCATAAATAATTTATATTTCCAGCTAAGGAGTTTCATATATTTTATCAATTTTGTTTTAATTTATTTTCTATAAYCTATAGAAATATAGAATCTATAGCCATAATCTTCTGTAATTATATGACAAGTATGAAAATGCCACCAAGACAGCCAGTCTAACTTTACTTACCCAAGATTATATATGTCACATAAGAATTGAATGCATCTACACCAACTCAAATAATTAAAATAGTAAGACTAGACAATGAAGTAATCTCAAGTTCCAAGTAGTAACTTGAAAATAAAATTCTGAACCTACCCACTTCAGCAGGACTGGGATTTCAGTCAGAATGCATGATGGAGCCCATTGGAATGGTAACTGTGGCAATGTGACTAAGGCCTCTACACTTCAGCAGGAGAGATGCAAAAGATTCTAAGAGGCTTTGATGAATATTTATGAAATTATTATCTCATAYGCTCAGGTAGGGGAAGAAGCCTTGGCACACTTTGTTTCCCACAAAATTAGCTTAAYAAAAAAAAGTTAGAGATAACAGGGTTCTCCCCTCATGCCACTCCAACAGAGACAGAATAGAAGAAATGAAATATTGTCTACTTGCAAGAAGCAATCCTCATTATAGAATACTGATATTTTGAAAATCCAGAGTATTGTCCTGATCCATGTCCTTCCTCCGAGATGTGTCTCTTACTTAAACCARTTATTGCACAGATATTAATGAAATAATCTATGTCAATCTGCTCAATTGCTGTGTCCTCCTCCCTGTTCAGGCAGATACTGGAACACTACCATTGGCTGGAATATCCTAACAGTGTGTATCACTGACATGCCTGTTGCAATTATTCAGATCAGTTTTACTGAAACAGTTCTGGACTACACTGGAATCAATGTGGACATATTATAGTATGAGCACRTAAGTCTCAAAAATGTAGTAATCCTATGTCAGAGGAATCATGGGATCAATATTTATTACTGCAGGGGATGTAGCATGCTGTATACCTGAAGAGCTTGATATGTACAAAAATATCTCTGTGGGAGCTTACCCTGCTGAGTCAAACTGAAAACTCTTACTATTCTCTCAATATGTAGACCTTTGGGGTCTGCCTCCTTTCAGAGCAATTCCTCTCCTGTAGCTGATTACATATTTAGCTGTTCTAGGGATGTATTTTCTAGGCTTTGGGAAAACACAGTTTGCACTAACTAAACATTGCATGAGAACTCTCATGTACAGTCATTCCCACTTTGSAGTTTTTTTGCCACAGGGATGGGATTTCATAAACATTGCTCTGTATGCAAATAAAACAATCAARTAAAATAATATGGAAAATGCATTACACGAAAAATAATTTGATGTCACAAGAAAAGGAGCGCCCTCTAACTAAGCCAACCTGACATACTTCTTATAAAGATCCACTTGGTCATAGTAGATTACTTTTTTCAATGTTGAGTCTCAAAAGTGAATACAGATAACTAATTTAATATACTGATTTTGTCTTAGTTCAAATGAGGTTACTTTGATTTGCCAAGCTACCCACAGAACTGGTTAACAGTTCCAGATGTGTTAGCAACGATTTGTTACAGTAGGTGCCAAGATGGAAAATGGAAAGGAGTGACCAACCCAAATAAACACACAGTACAATTCAACAACAATTTTGAGCTCACTAGGGAGCTGAAAATCTATTCCAAATGCCACTTTAACTGYGTGTTATAAAAATACTTGAATAATTTTTTTTCCACAGCTATGGTCTGCAAGTCCATGGCAACACAGGCTTCAAAACAATTTAATGGAACATTAAAAATGAAACTTCATAATGTTTAGTCCAACAAGATTGATGATGAGCACTGACCTGCAAGAAATTTTCAGTGTTAACTATTTTTCAATATCAAAACACTACAGAACTCTGAGAACTCTGCAAATTCAGAGAAATCTTTTCTAAATACTGTCATGCAAAAGTTAAAGAAATTAGAAGTTAAAAAATTCCAATTTTGAGGACTTGGTGCTCACAGTTCACCCTTGACATCTGTTTTGTTATCTTGTCCTTCTCTCTGAGTTCATTTCTTACTGTTGCCTTTTCGTTGCCAATAAGCAGGATGAATTAAGTTATGCTGAACTTGACTGCTTCCACTCCTTCASATTTTAGTGTTATCCAGGCCTAAAACTGGCCTTAAGTATTACTGCCCTATAACAAAAGTTCCAATGTGAACATACTTTGAATTGTTCAGGTAGTTGAGGAAGATAGTGTGATAAAAATGTGATAGTTTTAGGGCATGTGATTATAGAAAGCAGCAAAAAATTAACAAGGGAAAAACAATTCAAAATTGTATYGAAAGGAGTTTTCCATCTTTAGGAAAGGCTTTCTATCAATTTTCCACAACTTTCCTCTCAAAGCCTCTCCAGAATCATAATCAATCAAAAGATTAATACTTCCGTTTCACACCAAGGAAGCAAAAGGTTTTAAGCAGCCTTTGCATTAAAAAGGAGTAATAAGCAACATTTTAAACTTTTAGATATACACAGTATTGAAGATTTTCATGTTTAATTTTCAAAGGATTAGTTTCAGAGCTGTCAAACTACAGATATAAAGAGATACAGCCAAAATAATTTTAACCTAGATTCAGTATTTTTGATCCCACTACACAGACAAAAAGCACAGCCTAGAGATCCCAAACTTTGCTCAGCAGCACAGCAAACATTATGACATGCAACTGCAAGTCAAGGCTACAGGTACCCAAATTAATTAATTTGTAATTAGATCAAGTGCAGCTTTGGCAGTCATGATTCATGAATTTTAGGAAAGGAGAAAAGGTCCAGAACATAAAACGTCTTCTGGACTYCAATTTGAAAAAAATTATCCTTGAAGAGGAATCTAACACAAACTAGCTTCTTGTCCCAAAACTGCATTCTTACAAGAAAAAGAAAGAAAACCCAAACTGAAAACATTTGGTTTAATCTACAGAATTGCAGGAGTGCTGTATTAGAAATTTCACTAATGTAAACAATACTTAGAAGTCCTTTCAAGTCAAACTTGAAGTGCATTAACAAAGCAATGTGTGGAATTTAACAACCTGGGGTTTTACTACTCTTTCTGTGTTGTTCATGATCCTGAATAGCTAGAGAATATTTGTTTTAGGAAAATCAGCCTGACACTTTCAGAAATATTACTTAAAACAAAAAAAAAAAAACCCAAAGGGATTTAGAAGATGAAGGATTTGCTATAAACAAGTAAGTAAATAAATTTAATTTTATAATAACATCATGGAACAGATTAAAGCCTAAAAAGATAAATATAGACAGAAGATAAATGGCATTAATTTGCAAAAAAGGAAAAGAATACATCTAAAGCAGATAATCAGAAGCTACTCTCTAATGAGAAGATGGAATCATGGAAATAGACCTCCAGGTGACTGTGATCACCAAGTAAGTGATGTGTTTGCAATTGAAATATGGCATCAAGAAAGAGAAATGCGATTTGGGATTAATCTGTAGAGACACTAAGTGTCACAAGGTAAGGACTTAATGTGACTGTAGTGTGATTATATGTGAATTAATAGCATTTACACTGCACAAGGGTGATTAAAACCATTCAGTTTTAGTAGCACATAGTTTAGGGAGAGCACAAGCCCCTTTCTTGAGAGGTTCTTCAACAGTAAAACTAATAAGGAAATCATAGAGGAAAAAAATTAATTMTATAAAAATAGATTCATTTAACACTCTCCATGTAAAATTAATACATTCCTGACCAGCTCTGTTTTGTGTGTGCATGAGCAGTCTCTCTTTTTGCCAACAATCAAAAGGATCTAAAAACCTAAAGAAGCTGTTCTGAGTCAGACYTTCCTGTCACCCATGAGGATCCATAGCAGGCACCTAGGAAAGCGTGTAAGGACAGTATAAGGTAC